TCGTTGGATGGAACGGGGCGTGCCCCTGGGAATGGTCTGCAGAAGGAAGGTAGTCTCGACAGACGCCTCCAACACGGGTTAAGGAGCGCAGTGCGATGGCAAGCTAGCTTTCGGCCACTGGTCAAAAGAGGAAGGCTGGCTTCACATCAACTGCCTGGAAATGCTGGCAGTGTGTCTGGGCCTTCGAACCTTTCTGCCAGACCTAAGGGGACACCACGTCTTATTCCGCTCGGACAGCATGATGGTAGTGTCCTATATAAATCCCCCGAGAACGTGCTAAACACAATCTCTAAGGCTAGAGCACCGTCTACAAGACGCCTCTACGCCCTTAAATGGTCTGTCTTCTCCACCTGGTGTACAGCCCACGGCGCAGACCCAATCTCATGCGACATAACTCTGATATTGTCCTTCCTGCAAGAGCTGTTGGATAAGGGCCGTTCCCCTTCCACGCTCAAGGTCTATGTAGCAGCCATAGCAGCCCCTCACGCTCCTATAGCTGGCCAATCGGTGGGCAGGAACAACTTGTTTGTTCATTTTCTGAAGGGGTCTAGAAGGCTCAACCCGCCTCGCCCCATCACTGTCCCTACATGGGATCTACCCACGGTGTTGAGGGCTCTGAAGAGCCGTCCATTTGAACCGCTACAGTTCATTGACCTTCGTCCCCTGACACTTAAGACTGCTCTGCTTCTAGCATTAGCATCGGTAAAGCGTATGGGAGATCTGCAGGCGCTATCAGTGAGCCCCACCTGCCTCGAATTCGGGCCCAACGACTCCAAGGTCTTCCTAAAACCAAGGCATGGTTAGGCTGGGCCTCGCCGTCCACATTTGCCAGATTCTATAGTCGGACATCCCGGCCTTACAGGCGCGGGTCCTTTCTGCATAGCAGGGCACTCTGTCATATGACAACCAGTGCTTGGCGTTTGCCTCCTTCATGTACGCTCTTGGCCCTCAGAGAGTTCCGAGGCTGTACTGAATTATTTTGGGACAATGATACAAGGCTGGGCCGACCTCTCTGAGTTTAGCCCTACTGCCTTTTGCGGGGCTTCCCTGCAAAATACTTGGTCCCTCTGGGCCCCCTTGGGTGCTTAAGGCAAGTTCAAGTATTAGTCGTTCCTCTAGCATAGCACGGGGGGATTGTACTGGTTCCCCAAGCGTCTTAAACAGACGAAGTAAGCATGAAGTATCGATAAGGAACGTACTCGGTTACTAATGTAACCTCGGTTCCCTGAGATACGGAACGAGTACTGCGTACTTTGCCGTGCTATGTAGCTGCACGACTCAGTCGTCGCTTCAGTCGAAGTAACCTGAGGATCTTATGGCGATGTGCCGCTTATATAGCCAGATGACCCGCCCATTCTGGCGGGCTTTGACGGGCTTTACCGAGCGCTGCCGAGCCATTGGTTCGTTTTTTATTCACTGCACGAACCAATGGCCGTGCAGTTACACTGCGTTATTGAAAGGCTTCAGTCATCGGAGAAAAAGTACTTAAAGTACTTAAACAGACGCAGTACTCATTCCGTATCTCAGGGAACCGAGGTTACATTAGTAACCGAGTACGTTCTTGCATCATTTCTGAATCATTATCCAAACACACCTTTCTGTAAAACTGTAAGACACTGATTCCATGTTATGAGCTTCTTTGAAAATGGCAACACATCACTGTTGTCAACAGCTGTCAGTCAATGCAGACATATCTGTTGTCTTGAATAGGAAGAAAGTGAGAATCAAAATGATGCATCATGCTGCTAAAAACTTAAGCATAAACCATTGTACTGTGCTGAAAATCCTTTACCTAAATTGGTTTTCCTGGTCAAAAATGATTAGCCTTTTAAAAAGATTTTGTATTTATTTTTGGAATCGATTGATTTGAGCTTATGTACCTCTTAGTCCAATGCAATAAAATTAACTAGCAATTTTAGGAAAACTCTCTCCAGGTCAAAATGACTGGAACACAACAAGAGGGTTAAAAAGACCATCCAATCAGAAAAGTGTAATACGGTAGACTTTATTTAGCAGATGTTGATATAAACCTACTCTACGATACGGCCTTGGCACAAGAGCACAAGAACTCATGTTGGCATTATTGCCAACCATGTCTACATGGAGTTTCTATGTCATGTTGATGGTTGAAGAGCTGTAGCATTCATTCATAAAGGTATTTTTTTAAACCACTGACGTGCCTCAGTGAAGTAGTTATTCATATCTGTTGTGCATACATATCTTAAATGTATGTATACAGTCTGGTATACTGTATATCGCCTGTAGCTTAAAAAATAAATATGCTTGTGTTGTAATGTACTGAAGTATTTCCATAAAAGGGTCAACCAGGGCATACTTTCAAAAAGATGATCTGGTCAAGCTCAGGCACTTAATTGTTTACACATTGAAAATAAAATTATGAAAATAAGTTACAGGTAGACATTGTCCAATGAGGGATTGACAACTAGCCTGCCTTAATTTTATTTATCTATCTATCTATCTTATCCGTCCGTCCGTCCATCCATAGTATTCATGACAAAATTGAACTGAAATGAAAGATGAAGATGAAAAGAATGAAGACGAAAGAAATCTAATATGATTTCAATTCTTAACATTTCATGTAATATTTATCCAATCTATTAAGACATAAATAACAGATATTTGCAAGCCCATGGCCATGCGAATAATTTGGTCAGTCGTAAACACTACCTAGGCACAAAACAGAGGTGTTATTTTCAAAGGACCGAAGATGCTTAAAAAACAAACTTCCCACTGTTTTCATGTTTGATCCTATTGTTAAACTGGTAAACGGTTTGACTGCACCTGAACTAAATGAGAACTTCCTAATGTAGGCCATTAGTGATCTCTCTCATAGCATGACTACAACTTAGCTCACCACTGCTAACTGATGAGCCTAAATTAACATATTTAGATGTAATTTTTTTTTCATTGAACAATGTCACAGGTGACTAACTGGTGAGGGTTGCGTGCTGCAATGACGAACCAAGATGGCCGCTGGAAGAAACCTCAGTGACCCCAGCCTGAATCAGCATTCCCAAGCTATGGGTTGATGTTGATAATCTCATTTAAACCAAGACCTCATTTATCATCGAGGGCACTTTCGAGTTACAAAAATGAGGACCCTGCGGATGGCGATCAGCCGATCCTTAAGAGCGTTCATGGCGAGGATGGTCAGCTGGGCTTGTATGAGTAACATCATAGCACGTAAAGTTACTTCCTTTAGCAAACTGTCACAGACTTCTCTGACTCATTCAATTCATGGCTTTGAAAAGGCACATAGAAACAGAAAATGTTTTGCTTTAAAATATAAAATAGGATTTATTTCATATTGATTTACACATTTACACCAAAAATGCAGCATTTAAGTAGTAATTTGCACAGGAAAAGGTAGATAATGGACATACACAAGACATGCACATCACAGAGAAAAGAACAATGAGAAGAAAATGAATGAATGCTTGAAGGCTTCTCATAGTCTATAAAGATTAATATATAGACATAAGCCACCCATCCACACATTGCACTCTACATGTATATTACACGTCACGCATAAAAATGGTCCTTGTTCAAACATGATTTATAGTAGGACTTCACACAATTTGGCTCCAGTTTACAATTTACTCATTCTGAATGTTTAAATTTTTTCCAATTAATATTCACTTCATGACAAAAATCACAAACAGACTCTTGAAATATAAAAACAACTCCTGTTGTTGTTACTATATATCATTAAGGCTGTATTCAAGGTAGGAGTGTGCGGCCTTTTAAACCCATGGGGGAAAATTAAATGGATGTCAGTAGAACGTTGTAATTTCTGACAGAGTTTATGTTTTGTGAATGAACTAGACATCTAAATGTGTATAAGAAACATAGATACAGAGAAAGCAGGGTTACAGTACATGTAATATTAAATTAAGTCAAATTAGTTTTTCTTTTAATCATCTTTTACAATATGGAAATAAGGTGACTGCTCATTTCCAAACTGAAGCACATGGATTTTTTTTAACTAACACACAAGGCCAGTTTTTATATTTGCAAGCCCATGGGAAGCATTTGGTCAGTCATACACACTACCTAGGCACAAAACAGAGGTGTTATTTTCAAAGGACCGAAGATGCTTAAAAAACAAACTTCCCACTGTTTGATGCTACTGTTAAACTGGTAAACGGTTTGACTGCACCTGAACTAAATGAGAACTTCCTAATGTAGGCCATTAATGATGATCTCTCTCATAGCATGACTACAACTTAGCTCACCACTGCCAACTGATGAGCCTAAATTAACATATTTAGATGCAATTTGTTTTTCATTGAACAATGTCACAGGTGACTAACTGGTGAGGGTTGCGTGCTGCAATGACGGACCAAGATGGCCGCTGGAAGAAACCTCAGTGACCCCAGCCTGAATCAGCATTCCCAAGCTATGGGTTGATGTTGATAATCTCATTTAGACCAAGACCTTATTTATCATCGTGGGCGCTTGCGAGTTACAAAAATGAGGACCCTGCGGATGGCGATCAGCCGATCCTTAAGAGTGTTCATGGCGAGGATGGTCAGCTGGGCTTTGTTTTCCAGCGGCAGCACAGCCAACAGCCACCAACACCACGCAGGACCATTGGGATTATCCTGAGAAGAAAAAAAAAAAAAGAACACAATCAAACATTAGCACTGAATGTATTAGATTAGCCTGCCATTTTAAAAATGGCAACATTAGTCTGCCTATAAAGGCAAACTACAAGAATTTTAAAATAAAAATTAAATACGGGTCTGATATGCAGCAGACAGTTTAGAGGTAAGATTACAATGAACAATGATTTAGAACAAATGTGAGAATGATTTGATCCAAACATTCACCTGTGGGCCAGAGTCTTTGACAGGCAGCTGCCCAAAGTGGCTGATGATTTGGTTCTTCATATCATCTTTAAGGGAAGTGAACCAGCCCAAGGCCTGATCATACACAGAGTCATGCAACTTCAGGAGCTCAGTCAACTCCTCTCCTTCAACCTGAACACACATGCACATATATGGTCAGTGTGGAAGACTGGTGATTTAGTTATTTTCTCTCTCTCTCTTTCTCTCTCACACACACACACACACACACACAATATACCATTTTTGGATTTGGACTTTTGTGCTCATAGACTGCAAAAATCTCTATACCTTTTTATCCTCCAAATATTCAATCTTGGCTGTGTGGTATCCATCTCTCTGGCCGTGAGTGAGCACTCTGAAACGAGCAATGCCTATGGTGTCCACCACAGAGCGTCCATCAGGAAAAAACTTGACATCCCTCACCTGCAGCATACAGCCGTGGTCTGCAAACCTGTTAACCACGCACCTCAGATATTTAACTCCATGTCAAGATGTTATGCACTTCATTAACACTTCTTTCTGATTAGGGCCCAAAGCTGTGAAAGTATATGCACTAAACCCAATATATGTATAGGACTCATCAAGCTGAACAACTTTTGCGCTGCATGCCATATGCTCTGCTCAACAGAAGTCGGCTACTCTGAACCTTTACATACTCCTTCTAGAGAATTAATGCAATCGCCACCAAACTCAGTCAACACAATGCCAAGACACCGAAGATGCTAAAATGTGAATGGATTTATGATACTGAATGGTTTGGCCGAGGCAAGGTGGTAAACTTTCGCCAAAAAAAAAAAGAAATAAAAAGCATGTTACAATTTTCGCACACGTTGACTGATGTAGTTCAAATTTGAGCTGTATGTTTGATGGAAGCATGGATGTGACTTATTGCAAGTAACAATCATAACGCTGCCAACTAGCAACAGGAAGTGTCACTTACAACAAGCTTTAAAGAATTCAAAGGATTTTTGATTTTTTTTTGTAGACTTTTTGGGTATTTTTGAGCTTCTTAGCACCTTTTGACTAAAGTAATGGGGTTAGGTTTACCTGAAAAGATTTCCACATCAAAGACTTCGATTTACCTTGAAGTATATTGGGGCCTTTATGCACTTAGTTGAAGCACATTTGGCAGTGATTATATGTATTCTAGAACACAGGAATTTAGAGCAATTTGGGTATAATCCATTAATAATTTTATGAGAATGTCCAGGGATCAGCATTAAGCAGGGATTAAAATTAATTCATTATTCAATATTCATTCGTCTG